ACAAATTTATTTTAAGTTATATTTCTGAGATATTTACACAACTACAGTATCATGATTGAGTGAATTGATCTGAAAGCTTAAAGCTAATTGCAATACTTATTAACTAGACGCCGGTAGACATTTTGGCGATTCAAATTATTTGATATTATGTGTACACCCAAGATTGAATATGTTAACATTATTGTAAGACAAAATGAATGAATAAATAAATAATAATAAAAAAAATAGATAAATAAATAAATAAATGAATAAAGAAAAAAAGAATATCTTGAGAAAACATAGGGCACTGTTACAAGTTTTGCTTCAAGAAAGAAATTCTTTATTTACAGTTATATTTGGTATAAACAATTACAGGTATATGATGTTTGGCTTAGGCATACTAGTAAAAATTAAATAATAGTTTACTAGATCTATATATATCATTTTTTATCTGATTCAGAATCATGTCTGACTAGCGTATTTATGTATATCTTGCATTTCAACGGCATTTAAATTCTTTTTATTATAGAGTAATGCTTAAAAACAGTAATGCTCAAAGAATGAATTTCTTAAAGTAGTTTATTGAGAAGTGAGTAATGTTGAATGAATGATATCTACAGAATCAGTTATGCTCGTTTTATAATGTTCATTTTGTAACTATCGATCAGTGATTTATATATACAAAATAGGAAATGCTAAGCCACCTGACAAACTGTTACATAGGCGTTTAAAGGCATTTTCAAAGAGTTTATATAACATTATCATCACATTGATAACAAACAAATCGGTTATAAAACTGAATTTTCAACAGTTAAAGGTTTCTATTATGAAAACCTAGAAGAATTTCCATAATGTATTGACCATAACATTAGGCAGTAGCAAAAAATAGCATGCTTATAGCTTATCATATTTGTATAAAGCTATTTAAAATTTACCTTATATTTATCAGCAGTTATATGTGAAGATTTCTTCAGGATGATTTTAAAACCAACCAATATTTACAAAAAAAACAAGATATTTTAAAGGTGGTAAATGCTCACGCGTAACAACATAAATCAGCTAATCTGATAAAAAATGTGGTCTGTGATGACAGTATTTTGTTGTTGTTGTTGTTGTTGTTGTTGTTGTTGTTACAGTTCTAACAGTCTTTTACTAGTGTCTAGTTAATCTTTAAGCTAAAACGGGATTTCTTCAATGTGCAGCATATGAAAAAGGCGTGAATATTTGTGAAATATTTGAAAATAACGATATGGCTTGTGTGGCAGCTGTAAAATATAATAATTTGTGATTTTTCAGGATTATTGGTTCTAGAATTTTAGTGTTGAGGATTGTATCCGCTTAAGCCGGTGCTAGAGGGCATGGAGAAGTTGGACTTTCCATTATCTTTTATAAATAGACTTAATTTAAGTTTGTTATTTGTTTTTGTTAATATTGCGTTCGAATAATTCCTCACCATTGTTCATAGAAAATAATGAAATTTATTTGCCGTTTGTTGGAGATACGGCTAAAGAAAGCCCAACACACAAAGCAAAACTGAAAATGTTGCAGGCTCGGTTTGATTGAGCCTGTTCATGGACGGTACTGTCAAGTGCAAACTACCGTCCACGCCCATAGCACCGGCTTAAGGAGAATTCCACATTTATCATTAACTGTTACAATTTGGAATTTTGAAACATCCGCAGGTGTGTTCACACATGGCGTTTATCATGGAACCTTCAATGTGATACGTAAGTGCCGTGCCATTCCATGAAAAGCGGCATATGGTCCCCAAGTAAAATGTGTGTGTGCCTTAAACGAGAAAACAATCGAGCCTATGTTCGTTTTTATCTAACCTACTTAATATTATCGTTCTACTAAGTGAAACTGTTATCTCAATAAAAATTTTCAATTATCTCATGTGTCCTTTTATCTGTTAATGTTACGTGGGGAAAATACAAAGATCAGTTTCTCTTTGTTTTATATGGGCGTACTGTGAGGTGAATTTTCCTATTCAATATGGAACTTGTGAGTAAATTTTCAATATCTCTGATTAATTACACATGTAGCTAAATATTGTTCAAGTCGAAATATTATTTTACACAAATATGCTTGATATTTAGCCTCTATAGGGCGAAGTGGCTTAAGTTCAATTAGATATAATCATGACGTATGTCATCAACTCTATGTAAAGTTATGTGGGTGACAACCGTGACATGATTTTCACTTTTCGGCGGCTTTTGGTTTAAAGTATCACGTGATAAAAAAGTTTCTTATATTTGGTTTTATTTCATACATAGACTTACAATTAACTAATTTTCGACATGATATTAAGCTCGTTTAATGCTTGCTTTAAGAAGTTTCCGTACCTTTTTATATGAGGTTTTATTCTATATCAGTTATTTTCAACCAATGTGGGTTCGAGTCCTACTATGACAATCGTTCTGGTTAGTTCCAGGAAGCGGACTCGAATGTGATTAATCTAAGTTGCAAGAACTTTATTAACGATCGAGCTTAAATTAATATGTTTAAACTAAGGGAGTTTTGCAGAATCGGCTAATGCTGAAAATTCTGAACATACAAGTCAGAACATCTATTTTCAAATATTTTCCGGAAAAAAGAATTACGCGTAAACCAAACCACTTCAGACAAAATTAATTTGACTAACAAGAAAACGATGTTTGCATTGTCAGGAATATATTCGAAAGGTTTATATTGGAGGATTGGTTGTGTTGCACTGGTTATTTATAATTAAATCATCTTTGGCTGGTTAAACATGTGCATTCGAAATGGCCAAAGCAGAACAAATGTTTGATTAAATTAATGTTTACACATTTTTACCACGATCTCGCTTTGACAATTCTACATGTTTAAAGTTATTTAATGACAGTTTTTTTTCTGTGTGTAAATAATAATATTTTCTTCAAATGTATTTAATGCTAATTTTACATGGTACAAGACATTAGACATTTCATAAATTTGTTTTGTTGATATAATTTATTTCATGGTTTTTTAATAAATGTGTTTTGTAATTACGATTTACATAGGGCAGTGTTAAAGTTTTGCTTCAGGAAAGAAATATTTTTTGTTTATAAAAACAATTACATGTATATGATGATTGGTTTACTCATACTGGTAAAGTATTTGTAAAAAACATTGTAAAATGTTTAATGCAATAAAGTTATTGAATTGAATTGAATAATAAAAAGTCTTAATAATCTACATGTATCAATTTATTCAGAATCATGGCTTACTAGCGTATTTATGTATATCTTGCATTTTATCGGCATTTAAAATTTTTAATAATAGAGTAATGCTAACAAAAATTAGTAATATTGATTTCGAAAACACACCTAAACGACGAGGCATAAATGATTTGCAAAAAAAGAAAATCTACCTATAACCGTTTTCATTAAACCTTATAGTAATATCGTTTCACTGAGTGTATGCGGGTCCAAAGAAATTTCGGTCACGTAAGACAGACATGTAACCTTGAATAAGTTTTTGTAACAAAACAAAGAAACTTTAAATAAATGCAAATAAAATACTTACCGAAATATAGATAAATTTGTAGACACTTAAAGGATTCATAAAAAACAATGTATTACCGGTCACACTATTATGAACAAAATAAAAAGCGTGACATCAACAACAATCTAGTCTAACACTGTAAAACTGAGAAGTGTGAACTGAGAAGTGTGAACTGTTTTAAACTTTTCAACAGTTTTAACACATTTAACATATTTACATTTCTTTAATGATTTTCAGCGGCTGACTTCTCACAGATGGCGCACAAGAGAAAATGTCATCACATCTGAGCACATTGACTTTGGTGCAAGAAAAAAACAATTGTACCCAGCCATTGCACTGGTCACACTTCCCCCACTTACCACTAAATATAAGGCCATTTGCTTGTATCAGGGCTGAAACTCTACTCTTAAAAATGATGCACTTTTCATCATCAGTTATTTCTTCATCAGTACAAAAGCTGTCCTCTTTATGCTCAATTGTTTTCCTAGATATTTTAAACCAGGTGTGCTTGGCACTGGGAGTTTTACTTTCACAGGCTTTTTGTGTTTTGTTGGTTTTTGTTTCAGACAGATTTGATTTTGACTTTTTTGTTTTCATTGTATTTTATCAATAATGTCAGCCTCAGTTATAGGCTTACCTTCTACCTCTTTGTTTAGAGTATTTCTCACATTTTGCAGCTGCAACATTTTCAAGGGCTTTCCTCTTTTCTCTGAAAGGAAAGTTATTTTTACTCAAATGTCAGAGCTTGGTCGATCAAGCCTTTTATAAAAAGTGGATTGGACAACTTCCTCATCAGAAATTACTGTACAATTATATATAAAAATATTCAACTTTTTTGAATGCAGCTGAAATGTTAGAATTTAGTAAGTGTGCTTGTATAGACACAGCATGCAATGCGACAAATATAAAATCTTGTTACTACACAGCCTCAAGAATCGCGTTAGTATTTGTGGCAACTAATATTCCACGCTATTTGGAAAGGAGCAAAACAACATTTGTCTAATGAGAACAGTCGGGTGGCATCACAAATAAAATTATGTTTTGGGATTTTGCCCATTCAATAAGATCCAATGATACATGGGTGGTTTGTCTATCATATAGGACTAGAAATGGGTATTTTTATCTCTAGTTGGTAGATATTTTAGGAGGTAATACTGCATTTTTCCAGAAATCCTCTGTGTTAAACCAACACTTGTACGTCATGGTTCCATTTGCCCCTTGATTGGCACCCTCCATCAAGTTATCAAGCATCCTTACACATAGGAAGACAAAAGACAAAAATGGCGGAATAAGTTTGCCAATGGCACTTACACAACCAATAAGGGTAATCATTTTACCCTTGTCAGAAGTAACTGCTTGTGTTTCGTTGTATTTACCGGCAATACCATTTGGGGTTATGTTCTTTACTCAGGCATTTTCATATACATTATATATCAAATGAAGTTTGTCTTCTAGATTGTATTTTACTTCATTTCTGACTACATTTCTTGTTAGGTTGCCGGTTTTTTACCTATATGACCCTCTGACAGATTCATTACTCTATGATTAAATAAGAAGAGACACTTTACAAGACATATAATACACTTTACAGGGCAAATATAACTTTCCAGTTAAAAAACAATTAGTGATGTATCAAATAAGAACAGGTGTATTTATAAACCAAACTTTTGTTTCGTAGTATACTATAAAAATAACTACTTCCTCTTGTCAGCCATAAAAATGATCCGTTGCAGCAAGCAGTATGTAAACATTGATGGAAACTAAAGTAAACTGTGATTTTTTTGATGTTATTAAATGGACAAATTTCGGATTAGCAAAATTGATATTTTACCATCAACTGACTTAAAATTATTGATTTATACCTTTTGAATCTCCATTTTGAATAGGTTTTACATTTCTGACATTAAGGTCACTACGGTTAACAAAAGATGCGCGCGCATAAAGGTGTCGCTTTTAAAAAGTTAAGAACGACAACTTCTCTAAAATGGCCTAATATACATTGTGACCGATTATTGATTGTACTGGAATAACTTTTATCTAAATATAGATCTTCATTTTTATCTCATACATTGTCCTTTATCTGTCAGTGTAACATGGGAAAATACAAAGATCATTAGTTTAAAACAAATTAATTACTAATTTTCGCTTTGTACGGCGTATTGTGAGGTGAATTTTGCCATTCAGTATGGAACTTGTGAGTAAATTTCTATATCTCTGATTAATAACACATGTAACTAAACTTTGCTCAATTTGAAATAGTATTTAACACTAATATGCTTGATATTAAGCGTTTTATAATGCGATGTAGCTTAGTTTTAATTTAATTAAACATTACGTATGTCATCAACCCTGTATAAAAATATTTGGGTGGAAACCGTGACATTATTTTCAATGGTAGGATACTACGTCATCGCGCACCTGCTGAATGTTCCCACTCGGACGTTTTTGTAACACCGAATAACACTTATAGTTCGATACACTTTATTGTAGAGAACATTTAACAAAGGTTACAGCAGTGATACAGTACTTTCCCCTGTCTTTCCAAAACAATAAAAAGATAAAATAGTACTATCGAAACAAAAAGACACAAGAGCTAATGCTATTGAAGTAAAATGAAAAAAAATTATATCAGAGCAAACTACATGTATTTAATTGTAAAACAATAGGATCAACAAAAGAAATAAAGTAAAAGACAAATTAATAACACTGATTTCACAAGTAATTTTAAGTCTGTGCATAAGTCAGTATTATAAAAATGTTACTTAATTAACAAAAAAAATGCAATTACACAAAAATCTGTCTGCAAGAACAAACAAGTTGTCATGTATTCAAACAAAATATCACTGCAGTCAGTGTTCAAGTATAATTCCACAATCACCCTAAAATAACAAAACTCCAGTTTTCAAGATGTCAGTGGAAGTCGGTTCCAGTATTGGTCAAGCAGTCTTCAATCTGGCTGCTGGTGTGGACTCGGGTCACGGTAATGTCGCCTGTGCAGAAAATCTCCCTCCTTGATTCTTGCTAAGTTCATACGGAGACGTTTTTTCAGAGATGAGATTTGTTGAGTGAATGTTCTGACACAGGGTTTTGATATAAATGAAACATTTTATGGGAATGTCTTTTACTCTGAACATCTCTGAACATCTCTAAACATCTTATTACAAAATATCATGCATTGAGTCCCTCTTGACAAGTGTACTCTTCATAACTAGCTTTATCTTCTTGGCACTCCATGTCCTGGGATACATCTTCCCATTATTCCATTTTAAGAAGATAAGATAACCTCCAGCACTAGAAATCCTCAATGCTCCCTAAACATGAAAACACAATCTTGTACTTATTGAACATGGCTTTTCTAACCACTTTGTTGGTTTCTGTTCTGACATTGGGATCACCCAAGTCACAATATGTTGCTAGATCATGGACATCAAATGAAAGATCTGGTCAACTCTGTGTGGCTATCCAGTGAAGCTGACTAGATGTTGTTCTTGACATCTTTGGAATGGATATCACGGTCAGCCTACTTAATTTCTTCTGTGTTATCCAGTTTGCTCAATTTCAAGTCCAATATACCGAAAACTGCAGTCTAACTCTTTTCCACAATGAAACTTCATCGTAGTGAAATAATTACATTTTGTTTGAACCTGTAACCTGTCATCCACACGCATGAAGAACTGTCCTTAAAGTTAAAGTTAATCACCTTGATGCCAGTAGAAGAGAGCTGGGCCTTACTTTAATTCTTCACATTGTAAGAGTTCAAGCCCTTTCTTCACACTGAAAAATCAGTTTCTTGATGCATCAACAAGCCCATACACACACACTTGTTCAACTTCCACACAACAGATGTATCTGATACACATTCTTTTGAAGGTTGAATATGGATAACTCTGTCTATGACCTGACCTTTTAAAAAGGCTGCTTTGATATCAATTGAGTGTATGTCATTGCTTTATGTAGCTGCAGCTGCTAGGAACAGTCTCACAGTCTCCATGAGCACAGTCGGGGAATCAGACTGCACAGGTATTTCCTCTTCTAATCCAACAACCAGACTTTCACCGTGCGTTTGTCTCCCGATTCTTTCTCAGTTATCACCCATCTAGTGGACATTAATTTTTGTGCCCCAACTATAGGGGGGGGGGGGGCATTTAGATTTACCCTTGTCCGTCCGCCCGTCAGTCAAAATTCTGGAAACAAAGTGATCCCTCGGAAGCATTAATCACAACAAAATAACATAAGAATTGCAGACTCGGTTTGATTGAGTCTGTACATGAGGGATAATGAATAAGTGCAACATCCCTCACGCCCCCTAGCACCGGCTTGAGCGGTACTCAATTCTCAACACTTTATAGTGTTGGCATCAATGATCCCGAAGGACCAGAAAATATAACAACACTGAAGTGAAGTACGGGGCAACTTTTTACGGCTGCCACACGGCACTTGACACCTGCTGTTGTGAAGTACAAAATTCTGGAAACAAAGTGATCCCTCGGAAGCATTAATCACAACAAAATAACATAAGAATTATCCATCCGTCTGTCCGATCTCATTTTGAGTCACACGTAGCTCAAAAAGTATTTGACCTAGAGTCATGAAACTTCACTGGAATGTTGCTTGACTTGTATACGTGTGCATCTGAGTATTTTTTTTGTTGATTGTTTTAGTATTTGTAGAGTAATTGGCCTTGACTTAATAAAAATTTGCCATTTTCAACTTATGTCGCACGTAGCTCAAAAAGTATTTGACCTAGAGTCATGAAACTTTACAGGATTGTTGCTCAGCATGTGAAATTGTGCACCTGGTGTTTCTATTGTGGATTTATTCTGTTTTCTTTTTAGAATAATTGCCATTGACAGTACAAAATTGCAATTTTAAACTTGTGATGCACGTAGCTCAAAAAGTTCTTGACCTAGAGTCATAAAACTTTACAGGAATGTTGCTCAGCATGTTAAATTGTGCACCTTGGGTTTCCCTTGTGGTATTATTCTGTTTTGTCAGAGTTATTGCCGTTGACTGAGAACAAATTTGCAATTTTCAACTTGTGTCGCACATAGCTAAAAGGTCTTTGACCAAGATTCATGAAAATTTACCGAATGTTGCTCAGCATGTGACGTTGTGCACCTGGGGTTTCACTTGTGGATTTTTTTTGTTTTGTAAGAATAATTGCCCTTGAAGAGGCAAACAATTGCAGTTTTCAATTTGTGTCGTGCATAGCTCAAAAGGTATTTAACCTAGAGTCATGAATTGGTCAGCATGTGTAGTTGTGCACATTGGGTTTCGCTTGTGGATTTATCCAGTATTTCTAGATTTATTGCCCTTGACTTAGTAAAAGATTATTATTTTTCAAATTTGACACATTTAGCCCAAAAAATATTTCACCTAGAGTCATAAGATTAAAAAAAGTGGAGAGTGGGGTTACCAGTCTCCTATGGACACATTCCTTGTTACCCACAATATGGAACCCTTCCAAGAAATGTTGCCAATTGACTAACCCTTTTGTCATGTCACAAAGCACTTAATCTTCACTGTGTCTAGCACTTGGAACAAAGGCTGATGCACTTCATACATATTTTCAATTGTATGCCAGTTCTGAACATCTTTATTTAATTCTATACTAGATGGTAGCTTCTTGTTTTCTTCCTGTACATTCAAGTATGTCAAATTCTTTCCAGTTGCTTTACCCCCACGATGGAACACTTTGCCTTTTACCCGCCTGGGATTACCATGCTATTTGAATTCTATTTTGTTACCAACAGTTCAAGTATTCTTTTTTTTGTCGTTTGATGTCATGTCTTTCTTTAACTGGCAAAACTGGGACAATGTCTTCATTCCTAGGTTGTTGCCTCCCCTCTTGACCTGCAAGTCTATGTCCTCTGTCTCTCATCTAGTTCTGCCAGCAAATCCCGCGTATTTTCGTCATCGCTGTCAGGGCTGTCATATTGCTTCTAATTTTGTTGTTGAGTTTTGCCACTTTCATTCTGTGATTCTTGAAGCATTTCCGCTTAACCTTCTACTCCACATTTCATTAGACGGCAAGGATGTATCCTGACAAATATACTTCCATGTCGAACGAACATAACTTTGCAATCTGGACCTGTAACTGTTCCTGGCCCCTTCCATTTGGTGTCGTGATCACGCTTGTAGTACACTCCATGCTGATAGCGTTCTCCAGATGCCCCGATTTTGTGCCTCATTGCCCTTCGTATTTTTTCAGAGGAATTGGCTTGAATGAATGCACGCCTTCCTGAGTGAAGTACATTTGAATGTTCGGCAAACTTCACTAGTTACAACATCAGTCTGTATTTCACATTCTCTACCAGCAATGTCACAGGGAAACTTTACAATATTTTTAGATTAAAGAACTGTCTCCATCACCAAATTTGAACTTTCATTCGGCATTTAAATAACCTTTTCACGGACAGTAGGATCAAGTCTAGGTAACAGTCCATTCAAGCTTCACCAGCAACAGTTGCTGTACAGACACTATCCAGAACGGCTGAGTTTGATGCTTCAGCAAATAGAATATGTTCCTATTGTGGTATGTTCCCAGTAAACAACACTGCATTTTTCAACTCTACTCTTTGACAAGTTCTCATATAAATGAGGGCATCGCTTTACCAAATGCCTAATGGAGTCGTAGCTTAGGCTGACCATCAGGTCCTTTTTTGGATTCACAGTGTTGTTGGATCCTCTTGCTTTGTCTCCATATGTGTTTCTGCTCCATGTGTCATCTTATCTTTAGTTTGTGTATCCCGGCCTACCGCTAGACTTACCACGTCCCCGAAAACTGCCATGATTTCTGAATCCAAAGCTTCTTCCGCCACGATTCCTGGTGTAGTTTGCCTCTTCTGTAGAGATACATGCAGACTATACTTTGATTTATGAGACACTGTCCATCTCATGGCCAACGAAGCTTGTTGCCCAAAGACTTTTTGAGAGAAGTTGACATCTCTTTGAATAAATCATCAACATTAGCATAGTCTACACCTGTCAACACAAGTTGTCTGTTTTTCCTTTCTAACTCAGAGCACTCGAAAAGTTTGAATGCTAACACAGACTGAGGCAGTTCCAAGTGGAATGTCTTTGTTTTATTGTTCAGTTTCTCAAATTCAGTCATATGATCTTCCATTGATACTTTACGTCGTCCAAAACGATAACATTCAGTGTATGCTTCATAAGCTTCACTTAGTTCATCTGTTTTTAAAGATTTTATCCATGAACGTGATGAGTTTGCCTACACCATCATCTGAATTCAGCACTCACTAAACACTTTGTCACTGCTTTGGGACAATGATTACGTTATAGCTATTCCCCTTTTTTGCTTCGAGGTCAGTCAGCACTTCCAACGCTTTTACATCATCAACCCATCGACTGTAAGGTTTATTAAATGTAAATAATTGAGGACATTTGTAACTTACAGACGCCATTCTTATACACTGATTTCATTACACTTAAATACAATTGACACTTCGCTAATAATGTTAGTTGCCGCACACTTCAACACACACTACACTTATCACAACATATATCACTGTCACATGAGTCATAGGGTCTTTATAGACGCTCTTTCAAGTGCACACTCTGCTGCCATGTAAAACTGAATAACACTTAGAGTTCGCTACATTTTGTTGAAGGCTCCAGAACCTGTGGAATACAAAATAAAACAAAAGTTAAAACAGTGATACATTATTTAACACATTTTTTATAGAAAATCCGTCGACTCAAAGGTAAAATACAATTTTACTATAAGAAATATTAAGAGTATCAAACTATAATGTAGCGCTTCAGTATTTGATGTAACTTTAATATAAGTTTATAGATCTATTACCTGCTTTAGGCCTGAAAAGGAGCTAAGTTTTTTTTCTCTCTGAATGCTCCCACTCGGACTTTTCCTACAACCTATAGGAAATAAGGTTGAAAACACTCCTGAAAATTATTTACACGTACCAGAGCATAAAATAAGTAATGTTTACACATTTTTCTATTTAGTTTCAATTATTTCTAATCAAAAGTCAGGTTTTCTTTTAAAAAAAGTTTATTTTATGAACATCGAAAATGCTCCAAGTCGGATTCGATTTCAGAGATGCTCACACTCGGAGCTGTCTACATATTAAACGAAATACATGGAATACACTTTTATAAAAAGGGGCTTTTTCAACAAAAAATGGTCCGAGTGGGAGCATTCAGAAGGGGCGCGATAGTATCATAACATTGATTTTGTAAATGGCGAGAGACACGATGTTTGGCGACGTTTGGTATAAAGTATCACGCGATAAAAGTATCTGCCATTTCTTACAAAGACTTACAATAAACTAGTTTTCGACATGATATTAAGCTCGTTATAGGCTTGTTTTATAAAGATTCCGTAGCTTCTTTTATATGAGATTTTATTCTTTATAGGTTATTTGAACCACTAGCTGCTTTGCAATTGTACCACGTAACCTTCCCATACATTCGTAGAATGCAATATATTTTCCCGTATTGCACAGTTAGGTGCATACGACATTTTCCTTTAAACATAGAGGATACAAACCTTTAGTGACTTGAATACCTGAATAGAATATTGAAAAGTGTTTTATTTGTTTTACTTAAAAATAATTTGATAATACGAGGTTATTATACATTGTTCCGATTAATATTGAATTCTATTGGATGAGTTCACATCTGTCGACATGGAGCTAGCCGAGTCTGATATAAACTTTGTAGCTGTGTACTAGTATAGAAATATATATAATGAGGGGGTTCAATATATATTGACAATAATAATATAAATGAACATTAAGAAGAATTGTGGGACAGCATTATAAACAAGAGCTCCGATGAGGCGAGGCATAGAATGAATAAGAAGCTAACATGAATATAAGGATAGATACCAAAACTGCATTATGTGGATCTTTCCGCCTAGTGTATTGAATTGTTTTGAGGTAACAAGATAGCATATTAGAATTTAAACCTTCTTGATTTTATTTTGATTGAATAAAATCATTACAAATTTGCAAAGTTGATTGCTAAGAAAATCAAACTTAAGCTGTGTTTTGATATTTCATACTCCGATGTAAAATATTAACACAGTCATCGAAATCCTTCAAAAGTTATCATGCGTTTATACAAATACAGTTTGTACGATGTGAACCACATAATATTAAGGCGTACACAAACCATAAATCCATAATGTCTATCGCGTAAGATCAGACAGTCCGACGGACAGATCATACGATCCCATATTACACCCGTAATAAAAGAGAATTGTGAATTGCTCCGCTCATGAGATAACATAGGTTGAATAGGGACATAACTGAAGACGTAGAATAGATCCGCTAGGGAATTATATGGTGGTAGGAAAAGGTTATATCCTCTTTTATATGTTTAATGATGCATTCTCTATTTTACATAGTATATCCCCTCTATTTTCCCGTACATATGTATGATCTCTAAGTCCATCCATTCGATCTCTTTTAATGTTTGATAGTAATTTCTCTGCTGTACATTTACTACCCCTACTTAAACTATTTGACCCCCTCTTAAAGGTTAAAAATGATGTTGATTATTTAGCATTATACACGACAACAAACCACGAAAAAACTACATTTGGATGTTGTTGGTAAGTGTGCGATACATGATCCGATATTGCATATTTATATAAAGCTGATAGAACATAAATATCAGTATTCATCATAAAATTGTTCATACATATACAAACATCTAAGAACTCTTACAACATTTTTTTTTCATGAAATATTTTAAAAGAATGTCCAAAGGATAAATTTCTATTGTTTTTGTAATATTTAAGGAAAACGGTCGATTATAGACCAATCAACTTAAATATGCATGGTTATTCAATTTACTTTTATTAGAGTATTATAAAAGGACCACAACTGGTAATCGCTTTAGACATAGGAACTACTTACTCTGGATACGCTTGGCAACACAGATCTGAGTTTGAGACCAATAGGAACAATGTTCATTTTAACACAAGCTGGGGTGCAGGTGCTTTACAGGTATGGACAATATGTTTTTCATTCAATTACAATCAATTTAGTAAGACAAATGAACTTTGAAATAGATAATTAACACTTCAAATGAAACTACCTTAAGCGTTGTGATATTTTAGATTTTTTATATGCACAGCTTCACAAAACATCAACGTGTATTCTCATCAAGTTCAAGAAAGAAACAGAGAAAGCGGAAAACAAAAAACCTGATATCAAAGTTTCAATTGATGAAAACAAATTAAGTATCACGGAAGATGTAGAAACAAAAATAGGACAGGAGGCAGAAAGGGTATATAGCGGAATTGCAAAGCAGAATAAAATTGATGAGATGTATGGGCAATACTACTTTTTTAAAGGTTTTAAAATAGCTCTGTACAATAAGGTAAGTTTATATTGGCTATCCTATACATACGTGTATTTAACATCAGTAGGAATACATCAAAATTATATATTTACACAGATATTCAGCTCATTTGTAATATTTATATTACAAAATATCCGTATAATAATTTCGGGACAAAGTTACTATTTAGCACCCATTTGCTATACATAATACCTGCCCTATATTATACTATATTACATCATACTGTGCTAACCAAGACTTACTATACCATACTTCTTTTCCATTACCACCACATTGCATTGGTAAAATTAAGAAAAACATGGACAGGATTGAGGTTTAATGACGTCCTAACAGCGACCATGGTACTGCTTCGAAGTTTTCTTTCGTGTTCATGTTGTTGGCAATTGACTGTGCTATCGCGATACCTACACTGCGTGTAATACCCTCGCTCTGCACTGACAGCTTCGAGGAATCTTCATTGCGTTTCTGATAAGACTGATAGAGACGCATAGACATCCACTTTTATTAAGTAATTATTTTACTTAAATGAAGTTAGTGTTGACTAATGTTATTTTCACATACTAGTACAATTTTCTTTTTACTGTCTTAAACGTTCTTTTACATTGAAGCATTTTAACCGTTCGATAGAGGACCAGATAGATCAACCATTTCGCTTGTTTGATGTAATGGCATTGTTCATCAAAGCATTAAAGGATCATTGTTTGAAGAAACTACAGACACAAGGGATGACAGTTGACATGAAAAAAACACTTTTTGTCGTTACTGTTCCTGCAATATGGACAGAGGAAGCAAAGAAGTTCATGATAGATGCATCGATAGCGGTATTATTTATTTTAAAGACTAAAATCTGATTTAAAGAAAGAACTTGTAGTACCAGGGTACGAAGGGTGGGGAGGAGCGAGGGGGGCTAGCTGTCTTAGTTGTATTTTCTACTGTAGCTCATTAATAGGCTCAACCAAACCAAGTCTTTGTTTAGATTTATTTTTCTGCTTAAATTGCCTTTATGGGATCTACCTGTTGCAGAATATATCGTATCGTATCGCCAAATCAATGACGTGTTACAAAGATCTAGTTTCGCTACTGACGGGAATACATTCTTTAACAATCATTTTATTGCGAAAAATAAAGAAAAATATCAAATGGCTTGAATAATTTTGTAAAGATTCTCAATCTTTTTAATAGCAAAATATTGTTTTAATCTGGTTGGTAAAAGGTTTTATTATGTGATCTTTAAATAGCTTTGAAATGCGCTTCTCTAATTGGCTATGAAGTAACTTTTTTTGTAAAAATAACAAATCAATATAACAGCACATGCATTAATTTAAATAGATTTTCAGAGTATATTCCACGTTTTTTTTTAAAGATTTTCTGGAAATCACTCAAAGACGCGAGGCTATGACGTGACATCACACCAAGTTTGTTGTTTTCATTAAAAAAAAACGTTGGGTGAATCAGAAATAAAAAGTCAAATTAGTCTATTTTATAGTTACAGTCTTTATATTTTAAAGAACATAACGAATTTAGCGTGCCAATGCGCTTATATAAAATACAGGGCCATATTATGGCAAAAGAAGACAAACTGATGTTGATTCCCGTTTTATTCAATGACAGATTTGATAAGCAATATAAAAGCTATTTATAAATTATATAATAAAATAGATATGTACTGTTAAGCTGGTGAATATAATGTGATATGTACTGAAAAAATAATATTGACTTCGGCGATTAAATTTTTAGTACACATTACATCATATTCACCAGCTACAGAGTCCATATGTTTGTATAATATCCACAACAAACCTATAGTTTTTACACAAATAGGCTGGTATTGGTAACAAGAACTTGTTATTGGCGTTGGAACCAGAAGCTGCTGCTATATATTGTTTAAATCTCCCTGAGGGTGAAAGAAAAGACATGCATGATCTTGGTATGAAAGGACAGAAGTTTCTAGTGGCAGACTTGGGAGGTATTTATAAAGATAAGTCTGACTTCAATGTAGATATGATTTGGTATCTCCAAACATGCTTGTGTAAAAATCATTAAAAAATTTAGAAAGGTTTCTAATTTAGCGATTTTTCGTTATATGTAAGAAATGACTTTTGTTATTTTGAGAGATTTGTTATAAAAGTAATTCTGATTTGATTTAAACAAATACCTTTCGGCAGGTGGAACAGCCGATTTATTTGCAGTGGAAGTCGAAGAGTCAGGTTCTGTTAGGGAAATATGTCCTCCACTAGGTGATCAAGTCGGCGGTCAAAATATAAATAGGGCTTTCCTGCAAGTTTGTTATGATTCATTTGAAGGAGATGACTGGGCTAAGACATTTGGTAAAGCTACTCCAGTTGAAATGTGGAAAATGGAAGCCGAGTTTGAGAAAAAGAAGGTTGCTATTGGGTCAGACGATCCAGATGGTGAAATGATTGATCTGGAAGTTCCTGCATCTATACGTGATAGCTTGCATGATCAGTCAGTCAAATTAAAGGATACAGGATACATTGCCTTTGAGGATAGAGAGTTTATGTTTAACTCGGGTCTTGTCCGGAAAAATCTTTTTCAAGAAACATGTAAAATTGTTTATGGAACTATAAAGAAAGTGCTTGATAAAACTGAAGCAAACGGATTGAGAACTGTCGTACTTGTTGGAGGTTTTGCTGAATCACCAATCGTCGTTGAAAATATCCGGAAAATGATTGCCAATGATTTTCAAGGAATAAAGGTTGTTATACCATCATCACCTTTTAAAGCTGTCTTAAATAGAGCAGTACTCTTTGGTCATAATCCTATGATAATCAGAAGCAGAATCAGCAGGGAAACATATGGAATAGAAACAAACGTTAAGTTTGATCCAAATATACATGACGAGCAAAAAAAATGGAACCAGAAGATAACCGGAGAAGATTATTGCAAAAATATATTCCATATACATGTTCGCAAAGATCAATCTGTGGTTTTGTGTAATGCACAACCAGTTAAAAAATACATCCCTGTGTACAAACATCAAAATAACTTACGTCTTCCTATTTACAAGTCGTTGTCATCAACAAACCCAAAGTACACAGACGAAGGCGACTGTGAAAAAGTAGGAGAGATCAATGTAGTCTTTGAAAATACAACAGAAGATTCAGAGAAAAGTGTAGATGTGTCAATGATTTACGGAGGAACAGCATTATCCGTCATTGCTAAAGATAACGCTTCGGGAAAGGAGTACATAGCTGATATAAAATTCAATAGAGTTAAGTGAGAAGAGAATATGATATATGTCAAATGATTAAATCGCTTTATCTTATCTATAGTGGTAAAATAATACTTTTTCATAAACCATTTTGACATGTTATTTATCACATATTTGCTTGACATTTGATATTGTGTGAAGAGAAATGATTTTTTTATATGTCATAACTTGTATTTAAAGGCACTGTGTTAAATTCAGGTGATTGTAATGCAAGGACATCATGCAAACATGACTATATATTATGTGATCAATTTGTGCCCGACATCGACTCAGATAATTATTGCATATATACACCCTTGCCAAGATTTTCAATGGACAAGGGGAGTAACTCATATGGTAATAAATCACTAGACATGTGCAAAGCTACTTACTTAGAATAGCAACGGTCGCTTAGGTGACGATTTCGGGAAAGGTGTTTTTACATGCTATAATTACAATGGTGCTAGCTTGATAGATTTATTATTATGTGAAAAAGATTTTGAAATGTTAAACAATTTTCATGTCTGTAATTTTAATGAATTCAGCAACCATGCTGCTTTTAATTTTGACATTTTGTGTAACTCGGTTAACGAAAATGGTTCCGAAGTATTTAATTATGAGTATATCAAATGGAGCGATAATAAAGAATTATATCGTTCTGGAAGAATAGAAAAATTGCCTGTTTTAAATGATATTTTATTGAAATGTAATGTAAATAATGTACACAGTGTAAATAATACGGTGAAATTATTCACGGGTGTTGTGAGGGAAGTGGCAGATCCTCTTTTTTTTAAAAAAAAAAGGTTGTACATTTCCAAGATTTGATGTATCTGGAATTGATTATTCCTGTATATGGTTTGATTTAGACTGTAGGGAAGCAAATCAATTGCACAAAAATGGATTTAAACAGTTAAATATGTCACACAAAGAGACTGATCGATTAGAATTAGTTCAACTCAAAGCTAGGTATAAATATGTTGTTAAGAAAAAGCGTCGTTCTTTTAAATGGAAACTAACCAAAAAAAATTTAAATTTAAAAAAGAGTTAGCCACGTGATTTTGGGGGCTATTTTAAAAAGCAACAGGGAAGTATAGATCTAATAATTTTGAAAACACTTTACACGATTTTAAAACATATTTTTAAACTTTGTTCTCTGAGGCAAATTTTTCCTTGAATGAAAGAGAAAAGAATTTAACAATGTCCATGATTTAAATGATTTTAACCCTATTTTTCTGAATTAGATGGAAATATTACTTTACAGGGAGTGCTTAAGGCAATTTCTATGCTTAAAAGAAATAAAGCGGCAGGAATAGTATTTTAAATCAGACATAACTAAATGGTGTAATGAAAATAACATTATTTCTTCTACGAGTGCTATTTTTTTTTTGTTACATTCTATATTGTATGGTGTTTTTATTGTTTTAAAACGTTGTTTTGATTTTATATACAGGAATGCAATTTGGTTTAAGATGTATTATGCTGGTTTGAACGGTAAATTATTAAGCATAATAAGAAGTAAGTACAACTCTGTTTAAAAATAGTGTGTAAAGTCCTGTGGTAGCTATTCTGGGTTTTTTTTATATTGATATTTCGATTGGTCTACTTAATATGTTTTCCTTGTTTATTGAAGGTTTAGAACTGTATTTGCAAAATAATTTAAATTCTGGTATAAACCTTAAAGACATTTGCCTTATTTTACTTTTGTTCGCTGATATGGTTGTTGATGATATGGTATTAATTGATGAAAATCCTCTAGATCTCCAGAGTTCATTAAATAAGCTTCATGAATATTGTAATAAATGGAGATTAGAGCTTAATGTAAATAAAACCAAAATAGTAGTTTTCCGTAAGAGGGGTGTTTAAAGAGCAGGGGGAAAACTGGTTATATGGTCAAGATAATATAGAAATGGTAAATGATTTTATTTATCTAGGTGTCACATTGAAATATACTGGAAATTTTAACTTAAATACTCAAACTTTATATGGTAAAAGTTTAAAAGCCCTATATAATTTAGTGGCAAATATCACAAAATATGAAACAAAACCAAAAATAGGCTTACAGTTGTTTGACAATTTTATCGGCTCTATTTTAATGTATGCAAGTGAAGTATGGGGTTTTTGTAGGTCCAAAAAGTTAGAAAATATTCATTTGAAATGTTGTATATTTGTTAGAAAATCTACTAGTAACGTAGCTGTGTATGGTGAACTTGTAAATAAACAGATATGTCCGAATTGTAAAATTATGGTTTAAGATTATAAGTTCAAATAATATTTTTATAAATTCATTTGTTAATTCATGTATGTCTGATACAATGATAGGGTATACAAACTGGTTTGCAAATGTACGAAATCTTTTAGAAAAATACGTTTTATTTTGGATGTATGGTTAAACCCTTTAAGCGTAAATCAAAATTAGTTTATTGTTGTTTTTAAACAGAGATTAATAGATGAATATTTACAAGAATGGAGAGCTGGTATAAATTCTAATGATGTATTATTTTTATATAAATCGGTAAAGGACAGTTTTGGAATTTCACCTGATTTAGAAAATATTGTTTCCAGAAGACTAAGAATAGATTTGACAAAACTGCGTATTTAAGCTCATAATCTTAGAATACAGACATGTAGATATTCACGTGAAAGAGTAGATCGTAATTTAAGATATTGTTTAATTTGCAATACAAATGCAATTGAGGACGTATTCCATTTTGTGTTTAAGTGTCCTGCATATGAAAATTTCTAAGAAATATATATATATTAAGAATTAATATAGAAATAGACTTTACCCAATTATTACGAAGTGATAAAAATAAAGAAAAAATAATGCTTTGTCAATATATAAAAATGCGGCTTTCAAATTACGATACCAGATTATTTATGCTTAGATATGTATAATATTTTGTATTTCAAACTACATTTATGTATACCTTACATGATTTTTTTAATGTGTATAGAGAATTATTTATCACACACCCGTAAATATGGTATTGCACGGCCGTGCATATATTTGACGCGACGTCATTAGCGTTATACAAACATAGTGTAAAGACGCGCTAAATGTTAGCGTTATACTATAAAAATGACTCTTATTTCACTTTAAACGGTCTTTATTTTGGTTATGTGATAAATAGAATATTAAATTCGTGTAAGTTCATTACTGAATTTATTGCACGAGTTGAATAAAATAATATTATGCGAGCCTCTGGCGAGCATAATATGATTTTATTCAACTCGTGCAATAAATTCAGTATTGAACTTAATCTAATTCAATGTCCTTTATGTATTAGCCATCATGCCTTTTATTCTTGTCATTTATTATTATTATGTTTCGTCCATCCAACATATCATGTAAAAAACTTACTTTCATGTCATTGTATTTTTCATGCCATTATATGTGTATGCTTGTATATATGTTGACGAGAAACTTGTAGTTTAAGTGATAAATAAACGTTCTTCCTCTTCTTCTTTAAATACTATAGATTGTTTTTTATGCTTAGTTTGTCTAAAAATAAGATCATCAATTGATATGCTTTTATCTGTTGTTAATTATTATTATATGGACTTTGTAGTTATTCATCATTGATTTTATTCCAATCCATAAAAGTTTGATCAAAGTGAATATAATGGAGATCATACGGAAATATTTTATATCTCAGACTTGTATTGCAATTTGGCCTAGTCAGCAGGAGTGATGCTTTTCCCATATTGTATGGTGTCATAGACCTATTTTGATTTGAAAGAACAGTACCAGTATAAAACATTCTAAAATTATTAAAGAATATAAAGATGTCTTTAATGTATTAATTTTTTCAAAGATAACACATATTGATTAAAGAATCATTTGTTAAATCGTTTATTTACAAAAGTAATAAAAGTAGTACATACGATGTTTCTGTTTAATAACATGACACTATACCATCGTGAAATAATAAAGGGGAAATAAATTGTTATTGAAGAGCACCTTATGTAGTCAGACATTATTTGAGTTAGAATATTATATAGCTCGTCTTTGGGAATCCGCATGTTTGGGCGTAGCTGTATGACAATCGTTTTTTACTTACATTTATTAAAAAAAAAACCCTTCAGCCTAGTGTTGCATTAAAAGAACAACAGTAAGAATACGACAATCATTTTACAGCACGTCTGTAACAATAAAGTTATCATAAAAATAGATTTAAATAAACAAACTTTCAAAGTGCAAAAACCAAAAAAGTACAAAACGTATTACAAATACGATTTGTTTTTAAATTGCCATTATTTTTATTTAAATAAGCATGCCTCCAGATTCATGCTTATTTGCATGAAAATTTGAAAAAAAGTATTTAAAAGCAAAATATTGTGTAGTGAATAAAGAAAGTAATTTACAAATTGCACTTAAAATCCGCGTAAATTACAAAAAAAAAAAAAATCAAAATCAAACAACTTTTCAAATGTCTTTCTTGACCGATATAGGTAACAATGATACTAGTCTAAACGGTTTTTATTCAGTGACTAGACCTGTATATACACAAAAATACTGCAAAAAAAAATTCGGTGTTTTTATGCAAATGACTGTTACAAATATATACATGTACAATTTATTGTGATTCAGCATTGTCATTTCACTAAGTGGGTCATTCATGAAATATGCATTTGTTTATATTAGTCCTTAAAGCATGGATCTGGAAGTGTAATTGCCAATGGTTCATCATTTTACATTGTGACCTTTGTCGTTATATGAATTTTAGCCTACTTCCACTTCGGACCCACTTAGCGAAAACAAAAATGGCTGACAATGCTCAATCACCTGAACAGCAGGTGTACAGCGCGTAGCCAGGTCAAGAACTAGTACCCCCATCTTAGTTGTCTTTACAATTTCCCCACCCCAAAAATCATTTAAATCATAATAATTATCATAAAATATCACAGATCGGTACAAAATTTAGCTTTCTGGTCATCCGTAAAACAAAATGCATGTATAGGCCGCTCGTGAAAATATGCACTCATCTAGCTTCAATAACTACGATATGTAGATGAATTTTTAGCATTTTTCAAAATTTGTGTTGCAAATGTTAGGGAACAGATTACATTACCGTTAAGTATTGAATATTTCACTAAGCCAAGCCTGTCACTGTGCAGATGACATACGTAATAGGCCGTAGTAAAGCGTGTAAAACATTAGAAAACTGGCACATCGAAATAGCCTTGAAGGTGTTCCTTAATACCTGGACAGGCCCGGCACCTGGAGTGATATCTTTTTTTTCTGAAGCGTGTTACGAAGTAAACATATGTATTAAATCAAATAACGAGCAATGAAATGTGAAGTAGCTAATTCACGTGACCCTGTCAAACCTCAGACAAAAGACGGTACATATCTTTTCGAAAGACTGCTATGCCACTCATATAAATCATGTAATAGAAAGAGCACCGAAACACGAGGCTATCTGATTTGTACGAGGGGGCGTAGCCCCCGAGTATTAATCAGATTGCCGAGTGTTTTGGTGTTCTTTCTCTTTTGTATCATAGTCAAACATAAAAGCACGTTCCCTGTTGTCACAATATGAAACCCCGGCAAAAATGAACCAATGAACGAACATCTGAATATGACATTTCTGTCGCTTTCCCTTTCTCTGCCACCCCAGCAAAAATGAGCCAATCAATGGGCATGCTCTGGAGTGCGGGTAACTAATACCCGCACTCCAGTTAACGCACTGTGCATGTATATGTATACGATTTAACCCTGACACATTTTCAACAGAAAGGTCTCCAAACTATGATACAAAAATTTATTTGTATATTTTAAGTATAAATGATATTTTAACAGAAAATGTTTATTTGATAGAACAATCTGCAAAATAATTTAAACAGTTTAAAATTTATAAATTTTCACAAATTAATAATTCATAAACCGAAGTGCAATGATTCTTGTTAATTTCTTTACTTCAGGAAAATTGCAAGAAAAGTATGTTTTCACTATTTGTCTGACAAATTCAAAGATAGGGAAGTTATAACTAGAAAGGTCTTACAAGGCTGAAGCAGTTAATGAGAGTATATAACGACTTTAAATATTAACAGACTGCGGTGTGCCCTATACTGGTTTACCTGTTTACGCTTGGTGTGCAAAATTTAATTTTTAATTTCTTCATGAAATGTAATGATTAACTGAAGTTATAAAAAAGTAATTCGCCATTGCGTGATAAAAGATAAAAGTATGTGCACTTAGTTCTGTATCATAGCTATCAACACTAGGTCACACTTCCTGCGGTCAGACTTGTCTTTTTGTGTCGCCTCTACGGAGTAGTGGCGACATATAGGGATCACTTCTCCGTCGTCTGTCTGTCCGTCCGTCTGTCTGTCAGTCTGTCCGTCCGTCACAAAACTTGTCCGGACTACTCCTCATAAACTACTGGTGCAATTTCATCCAGGAATGATCAGTACCAAGTCAAGTTGTGCATATTGTCAGCATTTTCGAGTTCAATGATTTTTGTCAGAGTTATGGCCTTTTAATAATTTTTGTTTTTAAAGTTTGTCCGGACTACTTCTCTTATACCACTAATGCAATTTCAATGAAACTTTACAGGATTGATCTGTAGCTCAAGTCCTTGCACATATTGCACGGGTTTTCCGGTTGAATGATTTTTGGCCGAGTTATGGCCCTTTGATAAAAAGGTGTTTTTTTCTGTGTGTTGCAAGATACACAAAAGCTTGTCCGGACTACTCCTCATAAACTACTGGTGCAATTTTATCCAAACTTTACAGGAATGATCAGTACCAAGTCTAGTTGTGCACTGTCCGTCTGTCTGTCCGTCTGTCACAAAACTTGTCCCAACATGAAATTGGCCATCATGAGGCGACACATGTGATCACTAATCGCTCTTGTTGTAATTTCAAAAAATTGGGCTCTGTTGTTTCTAAGGGGATGGGAAATTATGTTAATAAACTCAATTAAAACAATTTGTAAAGATTTACTCAAAATTTATTTGATAACTATAACAATTAAACTATTTCTATGATTAAGATGTAGTATTCGATCCGCAGTCGGGTGCTAGATATGAGCGGATTTTACGATTATATGCACCGGAATTTTTGTAAGCAGCCAGCCCGCATAGAGCGCGAGACTTGTAACCTCGACCTTGTTGGTTCTATTCCCGGGCTGGCCAACTAAAATTACTGATCAGTCTTTCGGATGATACTTTAAATCGAGGTCCCGTGTATGGGTGCTAAAAGAACTTGGCACGTTAAAGAAGGGGAAGCTTCTGGAATCGGGGCATCTTTCTATATCTGTAATTGCACTATCCTCCAAAATCTAAAATGACTTGTTCTCATCTGGATGACTCGCCCATATGGGCAACCGGTGGCGAGTATAAATACGCAAATTCACACACAGTAAGCAGATGTCAAAGTTAAAATAAGAACACAAGATTTAGTACATTTTACGATTTGTCAAACACTATTTACGCTTTGACATTGTGGCAAGTGATATTTTACTCGCCAAGTCGCTTTATACTATGAAAGATTCTCAGTAACTATCATATAATAAGAATACAAATAATTGATTAAGCTCATATTGGCCTTGCTGTTTGGCTAAAGACAGCTAGCCGTTTTGGCCAGAGAATTTAGGCTTTTTATATCATTGCTTTGCTGTAACGAAAATCTTAATCTGTAACGCTTCATGATAAATATTTCAATGAAATTAAATCTGACATTTTTCGAAAAACACAAGACATGAATTATACTCGTACATATGTAACGACGATATTGGTTAGATATCTGTAACCACTTTTATGTTCGTCCTAAAATGCGCATGTCGAGTACGTCATAGTGAAGTTCAAATGACCATAAATACAAACATACGCACAATAGTGTATTTATTTTAAGATGATTTTAAGAACTTTATTTTTCAAAACAAAAAAAAAATGGAAAAGATGTGTAAAGAAAACATCTTTTTAATTTATTGCAACAATAATATGAATGACCACTGCCTTTCTGGCGTTAAAATGGAAATAAAAACACGCATACGACTAGCAAATATGATAAAAGCATAAACTGTTTGTGTGAACTTCATCCTGCAAATTTAAATCTATTTTAGCATTTGTGACCATGGCCAATTGATCCCTTCCTCAATATAAAGGAAGAATACCATGCAAGTTATCTACCTTCCAAATATGAAATACATTTGTCAATAAATAAAGGCTGTAAAAGTGTAGAAACCTATTTTAGAACTGGTGACCTTAACCCAACTGAACCATAACTCCATCCAAAGGAGAAGACCTCAATTCCATGTTCCTACCAAATATAAAAGACATCTTTCAAAAGAATAATGTTAAAACACCTGTAATAATGTTAAAATCTATTTTTGGCATTGGTGACTTTGGCCTTTACCCACAGGACCCCCAACTAAACCCAAAGGAAGAGGACCTCCCTTGGCGTGTTTATATTAAACATGAAATACATAATCTTAACAATAAAGGCTTAATGAGCAAAAATGTTATAAAAAATTCACACCAGTGACCTTGACACTAGAGACCCCTTACTCCATAAAAAATACATGGCCATTAATGGTATCCACCTACCAGATATGGAAGATATCATTAAATAAATTTTTAAGATAAATCCAACTTACCGGAATAGGTTAACAATACAAGGTCCTATTTTCAAACTGAAAAAAAAAGGAATATAACTTGGGAAAATGGATGGCAATATCATGAACTTTTTCTAAATAAGTAAGTGTGGAAATTATGAAGCCATAAGTATAGACAGTACTTAAATAAATCCAACTTGCCGGTTTAGGTTAACGATATTCATTCTCAAA